GATGGCTGCAAGCAATGCGTGTGTGTGTGTGTGTGTGTGTGTGTGTGTGTGTGTGTGTGTGTGTGTGTGTGTGTGTGTGTGTGTGTGTGTGTGTGTGTGTTTCATCCAGACCCCCATGGTTGAACATTGGTATTCAGATTAAATATTCAAGTAAATACATAATTAGAGTGAAGTTGTTACAGAGACAGAACTGCATGGAGCACAAACCAGATGGAGAAAATATAGTAAGAAAACAAATGATCAAATCCCATTTCATGAAAAGAAATGATGTTTTCACGCTTCCTGATATAAAGGAAAGGGAAAAATTAAAAAGATATTCGTGAGATGATGTTTTAGCTTTGTCGCACTTGCCTTCTCTGCGTTGAGAAAGCTGATCACAGCTTTTTATTCAATAAAATTCTTAGCAATCAATTATCTGACAACCCTAACCCTGGGAAATAAGTTTATTTGTTTAAATATATAGCTAAAAAAGCGCTATAGCTACAGCTCTAGCACTAGCAAATGATTAACTCAACTTAGCATTGAAACTGGAAGCAGAAAATACGATTTAGCGTTCTAAAGAAAGAAACGTGAGGACAACTTGTGTCCTCTCGAAGTTTTGCGATTAGAGCTAACCAGCACTTGTTTTTCAGCTTGAGCTATGTATGTTATCAATTCACCGCCAAAAAAGGCGAAGCATTTAGATGTGCTCTTCTTTTTTTCTTTCATGATGCTTTTCTATTTCACTGTTTTCCTCTGGTTTAAAGGAAGATCACACAAGGTGGTTGTGAGTGTTTGTCACTTGTGTAGATTTGATTCGTTGTCACTCAAAATGGCTTTGATTGGAGTTTTACGTGCAGGGGAAATGTTTCTTTAGCTCCGCTTCGCTGCGTGAATCTCATCAAAATCTCAAGGCGAATGTGGATCCGCACTACACAGGGAGACGAGATTCTGGAGGAAGACAGACAGTTGGCTGATGGTTCTGCTCAGATAGGACTATAATCTGCTGTAAACAGGGTGGCGAGATACGCCGTCTGAAATGTGACATGGTTGTATTTGTTTACTGGCAAACAGGTGGTGGGAAATCAGCAAAGCAGAAGCAAGGGGGGGAAAAAATCCCCATGTTGGCTGCATAAACACAGCGACTGCAGTGTGATTGATCTGGCTGGTGTTTCAATTTGACCAGCGTACATATGATTATCCTGCATGGAGAAATAATGAGGAAATGTTGAAAGGAAGAACAATAAGAGCAGCAGCTTCAGAGGCAGGAAGTCTGGATAAGCCGCAGCACGTTACAGGGTGTTATACAAGCTCCATTGTGACTGGCATCAATGTTCAAGCAATACTGCAAATGTCAAAACATCAAATCTCCCGATGTAGAGTCTCCCAAACAGAATTCGTAAATGAGCTTTAATCAGCAGATTGCATCTTCCGGAATCTGCTCGAGAGTTGAAGAGCTTTTGACGCCATTTGATGTATTTTTCCTCGATTTTCTTCCACTTTGAATTCTGGTGTGTTCAGGTGGATCTCCTCAGTGGGGGCTCAGGCCACCGCTCATGTGAACAATACTGTGCTGTTCATTCACGGCCAGATTCCCCCATCTCTCTCTGAGCAAAGAGGGAACTCATTAAGGAGCTGTGCAGCCTTTCAGCCAACCACAGAGAGGCTGTGTAAGGTTTGCACCTGCTCCACTGCCAGCTCGATTTTTAATGAGGGAAAATTGCTACGTCTCTTTCAGGT